TCGCTTTAGAGCAAGCACCGTGCCACAGAACTCTCTCTCTCTCTCTCTCTCTCGCTTTAGAGCACGCACCGTGCCACAGAACAACCAGCGGAGGATTCACGGTTATGGGAAGGGATTGAAAGTGAATGTGCCAGCTTAGCGATTTCGAAGCAGTTCGTGATGGAAGATCAATGGCTATGAGCAGGCGGAGAAGCTGGAAAAAGGCAGAGGGGGGAACTCGTCATGCCCCGGAAGCCGGTCCACAGCATGGACCAGATACTGAACCAGGTTTCGAACGTCCTGGTTTTGTAATGACCAGACCTGGTCACGTTCGAACGAACCTGGCCCCATTAGGACCAACTGGGTCCTGACAGCGAAAGGGCATATCAATCACACCATTGCATCACAAATAGATTAGATAACCTCAGGGCATACTCACACAAGCACTTTCCTAAATGTATCTGACTGCAATTATGGCCAGAACTGTACGAATCTGACTGCGATCACATCCAGAGCTTCGTAACAAAAGCCCTGGTGTGAATACGCCCTCAGGGTTCCTGTGTGGAAGGATCGGAAGGACAACGTCACCAGGCTTTTCTCGAGCACCAAGCCATCCAATCAAACCAACATACTGTCAATGGCAACATACACTCTCATCACGCTGCAAGATTGACGGTGATGGAGACGTAAGGATGCAAATCGGACTCGCCACCGACCAGCCCCGACATGCTGGCATCTTCGCCACCAGATTTCCAGTACGCCGCACTGCAAAAGAAGGAAGACAAAAGGAGAAAATGGAAATTGTGTCAGCCCCGAAGTAGAGAAACACGCCTCGACCATATTTTGCATGAAAACCAAACACCTTAGGATGCCCAAGAAACACCCCTCAACGTATCTATTGTGTGCAAATCGAACACCCTGGACTCGATAACACTTGCAACAATGCTTTACGGCCTGACTCATTTCAGGCTTCCCCCTTCCCCCCCCCCCCCCCCCCGCCGCCCCCGCCTTCCCACCATTCCGTGGCAAGCTAAGGGCCTCGCTCCACTACTCTCCACGCGCACAAAAGACAGAAAATAAGGCAACGTATCTTTCCATGTTCGAACCGACGATTCAGTCTCAATTTGCACATTTGGAGAGTAGTGGAGCGAGGCCATAAGTTTCAGGGAAAACATGTTTCTGGCCCTTTCTGCACAATACAGTTCCGGAATTGGTGGTCAGAGAAACATAGAATGTGGACTGGATCTTGCATCTGTCGAGACTTGCAACAGACACTGAAATCCCTGGCAGAATCTGGACAGCAGCACAGACGACTGGATGAACTGTACAGTGCATCAGCATCAACAGAAACAAGGGGCCTCGCTCCACTACTCACCAAATTCGGCAAGTTGACAATGAATATTCCGCTAGAAAATGGAAAGATACGCCACCATATTTTTTGTGTTTCGTGCATGTGGCGAGTAGTGGAGCGAGGCCCAAGGCCAGGGGTCGTTCCGAAACCGAAGTCCCATGATACATTCTACCAAAATGTTCTTCCCAAATCTCAAAGGAAGGTTGGTGTACACCACAAAAGTGAAGGAAAGAAAAATCAAATCAATTTTCCCAGCTTCCCAAATTGATTTGATTCTTCTTTCCTTCACTTTTGTGGCGTACACAGTAATAGCACTCGTTTTGCAAACCTCATTTTGCAAAGCTGGGAACATTCAGCATTCTTTTCCGGAACTTTCCCACCCCACCCCCACCTTGTTTTCTGGAAAAATCCTCACCATGTTTTCTCCTGAGCTCTTCGGCTGCGTCAACATCCTTTTCCATTCTTTTCCAGAGCTTTGCCCCCCTCTCCTCCATCCCCCCTGCCCCCCTCTC